GGCGTTTGCGCGGGGATTGAAGGAACAGCGAGTCTGTTACCTCGGGGCTTTCGGATTTTAGCTCTATGAGGAGAAGGAATTTTGAATTCTTTGGCAGCGGTGCGAAGTAACCGTGTGCTTCCCCCGTTCTCAGCAAGGTAGCGATGGATGGATTATTCTGCTTGTCAAAATTTACCGAGCACGTTGGGTTTGTTTTGTGGGTTTTTTGTGTTTGTTTTTTTTTTTTTATTAGATCAAAGGAGTTTACTCGCTTTTACAAAAAAAAAAAGGGGCATGGGGAGCTTAAATACGTGATGGCAATATCACAGAATCACAGAATGTTAGGGATTGGAAGGGACATCAAATGATCATCTAGTCCAATCCCCCTGCCGGATTCCCCCTGCCAGTAAGAATTTCTTCATGTTTAGTCTTTAGGCACGTTACAGATCTCAGTGTTTGTGGAAAACTGCCTTTCCTTTTTCAGTTTAGGAGGGATAGCCCAGGAGGCTTCTTCATATGCCAAACTTGTTTGTCTGAGGCCAAGGAAATCTATTGGTTCAGTGCCTGGAACGTTTTATCTTCAATTTTTTATTGTACCAGAACTACCTCTATAAAGATACGGGGAAAGTAAGGGACCTAGATTGAGTTTATTAAAAAGCAATCCGGTATTATTGCTGTAATTGGTTTAAAGAATAAAAAAATGAATTATTAACAGTATTGATCTGGGAGAGATCTTACTGGCTTGTAGTTGTTACAAGGCGTGAATATTTTCAGGTACAGTACGTTTAGCAAGGACTAGGGGAGGAAAGGGGAAAAGCAGTTAGACATTAGAATAATTTCAGCAGTGCTGTAAAACTGCATATTCAGGCTAGTGATGGATTTCTTTTTCCTTGAATGCTGTGAATTTTCTGTGCTTTTTGTTTTCTGCAGGCAGTTCTCTGTTAGACTTTTTTGAACACGGTGACACAAGAGTAGCTAGGGCAGTCAATACATGCTGCTTACAAAGAATTCATGTAAATGCCTGAATAAAATCTCTGATAACCAAGTTAGCAGCTTCCATGGTTGGATGCTCCAGGAGAGCTGAAAGTGTCGGGAGCCTGTGACCCAGAGCATGCTGCAGCCAAGCGCAGGGACCGTGCCCGCCTGCGCTGTGCTTGTGCTGGAGCAGGGACATTACGTTGCTTTACGTTTAGTTTTCTCTGGGAGGTCACCACAGCTATGCTCAGGTATGAGGACTGTTAGGTGAGAGTTGCCCAGTTGTCTATCAAACATACCAAGCTGTTAACGTGTTGCTTACGTTAGCTGGTGCAACAAGTTGGATTGCTGTAGATGCAAGAACATTATAGAATGAACCACAGGTGTAGCGTGTTTTGAGTACATAAAGGGAAGAGTCAGTGGATGTGGGCAGTGTGAGTCTGCCTGGTCCCTGCACAAAGTTCTGCAGAAGCTGCTGGAAGTCACAGCTGCTCTAAGTGGGCTGGCTTGGGTTTAGTGGTGGCATGTAGGAGAGGACCAAACCTCTGCGATGCCACATTTGTGCTACTGGCAAGGCAGTTGCTGCAGAATCAGTGGGGTAAGGGGTGAGCAATACATGTTTTTTGAAAGCTTTTTTTTTTTTTTTTTTTTTTTTTTTTTTTTTTTTTTGTGGTATAGGCACAATGTAAATCTCTAGCTCAGTTCTCAGATGTTGTCCATAAGAGCTTTGGGCTAACAAGTGTTCCTTTTTGTGTGTCCTTCATGGAGGAGGTGGATGGGTTGCAACATTCAAACTGGAGGCCTCTCTAAGTTTAGTCTAGGAGCCTCCAACACTTAGTTTTGGGAGTTCACGGGCGAGGCTTCGCTACGGATCAGGGCAGCAACAGTTGTGTTCGGATGAACTGGGAAAGGAATTGCTGGAAGCGAGGTGATTGTGTAACTTCAGATTTGCCGCTCATGACTTGTGTACTACAATGCTTGGATGCTTTGATTCAGTAGGCGTCCGTTATGGATTCCTGCATCTTTGTTCTGTAAACTAACTACTTGGTGTAAACTTAGGGGGCTGTTTTCTTTTCAACTGCGTTTTCTGTCGTATTTTTGTCTTTACCCTGAGCTGACCGGCTGGGTATGTTGCGGAGGAAAGAAGGGCTTATCTCAGCTGTGTGTGGCTCTATGGCGTGTAAGATACAAATAAAATATAAAATGTTGTGCTGGGGGGAGAGCAGGTAGAAGTATCCAAAATGGCAAATACTGCATTTCAACAACTGAGTAGCACAGAAGGGCGGCCTTCCTGGCTGGATGGGAAGTGCAGTGAGAACTTAAGTGAGAAGATGGAGGTTAATTCTTAACCGCAGGCTTCTTCACACACACCTGCGGAAAGACAAATGCTAGATCGGGGAGAAAAAGTAGCTTTTGTCATTTTTGGTTTAGTAAAGCATTTTTGTATTCTGTAGCTATGAGGAGGTACCAAAGACTCAGTCTCTAGAGTGGATGAAGCTTGAGTGGTTTGTCTGCCTTTATAGTCCTGCCCTATGCACATCCAGATGTGGACACCAGGCGATACAGAAGTCGAACGTCGTCTGTCATGAATTCTGTGACATTGTCAGTGTTCCCAGTATTGCGACAACACTGAAGCAAGCAGTGAGAAGTTTGGAGGGGGAGAATCAGCCTTTGCCAGAACTTGCTTGTCATAAGGATTTGAATTTTTTGTGTGAAAAGGGAGAATAAAATAATATAATTTTTTTCTGTGTGTTTATTGCTTTGTTGATTGTATTGAAAGGTTTTCATTATCTGTTTGAAATGAAAAATGTACGTGCTCGTTATACAGAGGGCATGAAGTCCTGGTTATTCTGGGTTCTTGTTGCTTCAAAATTTATTATTGTATTTTCTTCAGTTTTGTTTGTTTGTTTTTTTTTTTAAATACACTTGTCTGTACTGGGTACATTGGCTTTTCAGGTCATGCAGAGATTTTCTTTGAAAACAGTGAGGTACTATTCCATTATTATGGCCTGGCAGTGATCCAGTTGGAAATTTTCTTTCTTCTCTTATCTCTGTTATTCTAACTTTATGCTCTTCTTCCTCCTTAATGTGTCTTCTGTGTTATTGTCTCCCAATTTGCAAATCAATTGTTAGCATTCTGCAGTAGTTTGGGGTTTCAGGGCTTTGGAAGACATTGTGTCACGCAGCCATGCCCTGTGCAGGACTGCTGGAGAGACTCTGAGCATGAGGAGGCTTCTTGTGGCTAGGAGAATCGTCTTTTATGTTCAAGACAGTAGATCTGTTTTCTTTTATGAAGGTATTTGGATCCTAAAACTAGTTTTCCTAATGACAGAAAAGGGAAAAGATTGTGGATGTATAGTCTGTTTTGGAAATATTTATTGTGGAATAGAAATAGTGATAACTTACTGTTTTGTTCCAAGAAACCTGCGGTTCTTCTCCAGCCCAGCCACAAACCCTGAAAATCCAAGTTGGTTCTTGGCCAAATTCAGTGCCAAATAAGCCTGTTTTTTCACCTGCTCTACTTGAGGACACCAATGCTACCAGGAAACATTACTTGAGAAAGAGGATCTGGAAAATTTTTGTTTCTGTTTGTAAAGTGACAGGGAGCAGACATTTGAATAAATTTCCTAAGGAATATCTTCATGAAGAGGAAATGAAGTTCAGCTGATTTTCAGCTTGTTCTGACTCATGAATTCATAATGTTCTGCTTATTTTGTTTATGACTTTTGAAACTAGGTCACTTGCATTCTTTGGTCTGTCGTTACTACTTTGAGTAGATAATACAATCCGAAAGTCAGGCTAGAAAGATTACCAGCTTTATGTCACACTAAACTATTTATACCTTTGGGGTTGCAGACCCTTCTGAGTATAGCTGTCTCTATACAGATATTACATATAGATAATGTACATATTACATATCTACAGATTTCTGTTTCTAGCTATACATTTCTTACTTGCAAAAATCTCCTTTTTGCATTAGGGGCTATGAACGTTAAGTTGTAATAGTGATGTTGGTAATGTTAAGTATTGAAATGTGATGCATCTTTCTATTGCCAATTTCTTATGGCCATTTCTCTTTCTTTTTAATTTAATGTAAAGATGTGCAGTTGACAGAAGAATTGGTGTTGCTTCTAAAAAGTAACTTTTTATTTCCAGAAAAACACAGACATGGTGTCACTTTACTAGAAGAGCAAAAGCAGAACTAGCCCATGTTTTGATGACTTTAAACTTTCTCGGATTAACCGTGGAGTACATTAGAAATAGCAGGTTGTGTATTTTGTTAGGGGCAGTACCTCTGGTGTGGTCTGTTAATTCAACAGAGGAGATGTTTGTAAGTGAGCAATATTTATATTTGAAGCTGAGGGATTGAATTTAAATCCTGTTTCATAATGACACAATGATTCAGAATGCGTGCCTAGAGGCATCCAAACTCTTGAGATGCAAATCAAGCAGGTTTTTGCCAAGTGGCACTGAACTTGTCCTCACTTTCCCAGTTTGTTTGCGGCATGCATATCCTGTGTTTTGATTATAGTTGAAGGAAAACCTTGCTTGCGATAGAAATATGTACATTCTCAACAGTATTGAGAAATTTTTATAACGTGAAGGGGAAAAGAAATGCAAACCGGTGTCTGTTTTAGTATCTTCTCTTCTGCCTTACTGAAGGTATTTGTGTCTCAGGACATTGAGGAGAAAAGGCTATAGCTAACAGGTGTCCCAGAGTAAACAATTCCCACAAAATTGCTATCGTTTGTAACAAAGCATCTACGGTACCTTTTCTCCATCTATTAGTGTCTTGCAAAGACTAGTGAAACTACTGATCTAGCTGTTATATCCATTTCCCTGATTGGCAAAAGGAGGGACAGGATTTCCCACAACTATTACAAAGAACGTTGCTGTGTTCTTCCTGTAGCTTCTAGCCCAGTGCTTGGGATAGGTTTGCTGTGTGTTGTTTCCCTCTCTTCTGGCTCTTGGGTTGCGGGCCTGTCTAACTATTTCATCTTCAAAATAGAGCATTTGGGTTTCAGACTCCCTCTTTTCTCTTCCAGGTGTTATTTTTGCACCTTATGGCCCTGTCTGGAAGCAGCAGAGGAAATTCTCTCTCTCAACACTACGTCATTTTGGAGTAGGAAGACACAGCTTAGAGCCGAAAATCATTGAGGAGCTGAAGTTTGTAAAGGAGGAAATGCTGAAGCATGGAAAGGATTCATTTAATCCCTTTCCAATCATTCGCAACGCAGTGTCCAATGTTATCTGTTCCATGGCTTTTGGCAGGCGTTTTAACTATGAAGATGTCGAGTTCAAGACGATGCTGAAGAACATGGCCCGCGCTCTAGAGCTGAGCGTGAATAGCTACATGATCCTGGTCAATATCTGCCCTTGGCTGTACTACCTTCCCTTCGGGCCTTTCCGGGAACTTCGGAAAACAGAATTAGATATCACTGCTTTTCTAAAGAAAATAATTGCACAGCACAGGGATACACTGGATGCAGCAAATCCCAGAGACTTCATTGATATGTACTTCATCCATGCGGAAGAAGAAAAGAACAACAAGGAGAGCAGTTTTAATGAAGATTACCTATTTTTTATCATCGGTGACCTCTTCATTGCAGGCACAGACACTACCTCCAACACGATACTGTGGTGCCTGCTCTACATGTCTGTCTACCCAGAAGTACAAGGTAAGATTATTTTTGTTCTGGGTGCTTTATTCCAAAAAGTAAAGCGCTACATGAATGTTCAGAAACAGAAGCAAACAGTGACAGTAGGGAAGTTATTTGGAGTGCAAGTAGTACATGTGTATGTGTAATTCGAAAGATTGGTATGTCATTGGACATCTTCTATCCTGCTCTGCTACGATGGTCTGTAGGTTAGTGCTATAGATTAACTGTGTAAATGGCCCTTCACTCTATGCATTTCTGCTGTTTTGGGACAGCTTTATCTCTGCCAAGCAATTCCAGGGAACCTTAGCGTGTTTCAAAAGCTTTGGCAGTTGTGGCATTCCAGGCCTGTAGTAGTGATAGAAGATATGTGAGATAACGTCGTGGTGGTAAGGTCTGCTTTTACGCCTCCTTCAACAGGGAGGTTCTTGAGCCTAGCGGCGGGGTCTGGGGAAGTGACACACTACCCACTGTAGAGGAAGATCAAATTGGAGACAGCTTAAGCAAATTGGACTTACACAAGTCCACGGCACCAGCTGGTCAATGTCATCGCAAGGCATCTCCTCATCAGTCTTGAACGGTCATGGCAGGTGGGTTGCTGGTGATGTGGAGGGGAGAAAGACACGTGAAGCACATGGCCCCACAGGAGAGGTAGAAGGAACTGGGCTCGTTCAGTGTTAAGGAAAGGTGACTGAGGGGAGACCTTATGCTGTCTACATTTTTTTTTCGGAAGATGTTAAGGAGGTAGAGACCGTCTCCTCTGAGGTGTGCAGTGGAGGGAAGAGAGACAGCAGAGACAGTGTACAACAAAAAAATTCTGATCAGATACCGGGGAAAAAAATTCCCTATGAAGACAGCAATGAGTGCAACAGATTGCCCTGAGATGTTGCAGGATCTCTGACTTTGGAAGTATTCAAAACTCAGTGGGATATGACCCCGAGTAGTCTGATCTACTCTCAGAGTTGGATCTAACTTGGAAGATGGCTTTGCTTGGAGTAAGGGTTTGGATTAGATGACCTCCAGAGATTACTTGCAATCCAAATTATTTGATGGTGCTATGGTCTGGTTACTGTTTATGACAGAATTCTGGAAAATTACTTGTAGTTTTTTTGTGGATATAAAAAAATACCAGTGGTGGTGGAGAGGTTACAATATCAAAATAGTACTTGATAGAGTTATATTTCAGGACACCTAAAGATAAATTTCCATCACCAAAGACTTATTTGCAAAACCAGCATTTTCTTCAGTACTATTCAGCAAAATGAGATGTTTGAAATTAAGAAAAATAAAGGAATTGGTTTATTAATTTATTAGCAGCTTCTCCTAAAGTCCTACATAGCAACTGATTTCCACTGGAAAGACTGTCAAGTACATGTGGACTGGAAGCCCTGACAGGATGGACAGATTCTGCTTAGGTAATTCTGCCTCAGTTTGTAGTCGTGAAACACTTCCCCAAGAGACTGCTGCTTTCCTAACCTGGAGTGAAGAAGGGTAAACCTCAAGTTATCTAAGAACAATATAAACCTGGAATACTTTCTTTAAGCATTTGAGGTTTTGAGGTTTTCATGTGCTGCAGCTGCTTTGCAAATAAGCAAATAGATACTTGTCTGCAGCACCAATGTGTCTGGAATGGGCTCTTTAAATAGGTCAAGATCATAGGTCATTGCACAAAGTCTATCAAGTTGTTGAGCAAAGATTGCAAAATGGGGCATGAATTCAATATCTGGGAGAGAGGGTCCACTGAGGACAAACGCAAAATAAAATTTTATTGCATAAGCTGATTCTTCTGTTTTTAATGGTTGTGTGTTATCACTGCTTGACTCAATAGGCAGTTACGTGAATTAGATATGCTGTGAATTACACAAATGAGATCTTAGAAGTTTTATGTTGTGTTTTTTTTTTTTCTTTCCCTGCTTCCTGGTCCTGTACATGTAGGTGCTAGTCAGTTTTCTGCCTTCTGCTGATCTCTAGCAGTTTTATTTCGTCTGTCTGTTTACCCCTTTCCTTATGTTGTGACTGTTGTCAAACAATATAAATGAGCTCAGTAGTCCGGAGTGTATCTCTTAGCTATGTAATGGAATTCTCTTACTCCTAGTATCCCATTCCTTATGTATCCTGATTGCCTGGGAGTCATGTATGGGAGTCTCTTTTTTTTTTTTTTTTTTCCTCTCCTGGTAATATGTTTCTCTTATCCCCTAAAGGAAATACCTGAATCGAATAACTTTTAGCAGTAGCACATGTTGCAGACAGTTTCTGGAGAGGCAAATGAAAAGCTATCAGGGGAAAACATCAGAAAGAATGTATTTGTCTGTGGAAGCCAGTTTTGCTTTTTACATGGAAAAAAAAAAAACACGGGTGGATGTGCACATCTATATGCATGTGTGCGTATAGGGAGGTAGTGGGAATTATTTGGTTTGGTCTGTTCCCTGACTTGGTTTTGGTCCTTGACTTCTGAAGACGTGTTGGATTTTTAAATACATGAAATGTGGTGGAGCAGCTCAAATAACATGCTGTTAGCAGAGAACTCTTGAAGTTTCTGGTTTTGAAGTTGATATTGTAAGCAGAAGTTTGGTTGCTTTCTATATAGTTCTACATATGTTTACAACTGCCTAAGAAATGTTCAGGATAAAATATTGATGTGACGTTTGGCATGAGACAGTCTCCTTAATTTTTTTTTTAATATTGAAAACTGTACTCGTTTAAATTAAATTACTGTGGACGTGCATACCTGAATATAGGTCTATAATGTGTCATTAAAAAAAAGTAGCAAAAGACCACAAAGCAAGTACCGAGAGCCGCACCGTTAGCAAATCTCTTGCTGTTGAGGTATTTTTTCCTGTGTGTGTGCGTTTGAGAACTTGTTTTCCCAGCGAACCCCGTAGGTGGCAGCAACTGTTCGTCAGACACAGTTCCTACGGTATTTCTGAACGCTACTCTGAGAAACTTTTTTGCATTGAGCTTTTGTTTAAACTTGAGTCAGTGCTAAGGAAAGAAAAGAGCAAAAACTCGAAGAATCAGCAGCCTGGATTCTGAATCTTGGAAAAGGCAAGCAGGACAACCACAAAATATTAAGGATATCAAGGGTAACAAATGAAAAGTGACTTTTATTATTTTTAGTTAAAGGTTAGTTTTGAGATCTCCTCTTTGAAGATTGTATTTTGCTGTGTAGCCACATTCCAAGTTACCTGGAAGAAAAGCATTGTCCTGTACATGGGGGAAGCAAATTTTGCATCTTGGAAACTTCTATGGAGAGAATTACTTGTATGCTGAGCCTTTAATGAGATGAAAGGGACAAACAAGCATTTTGACACTTCTTGCCTCACATGAATGAGAGGGGAGATAAGCTTGTTTACTTCTGTTTTTCCTTTGCAGAAGGGCTCTGTGAGGGAAGGAGCATCTGCTGCTGCCTCTGGGAGAACTGGGAAATAGCTGAGTTTAGGTTCCGTGAGGAGAAAGTAGGAAACAGCAAGAACAAGTTAAATGGCTTCAACGCTTGGCAGTAATAGTTCCAGAATGAAGTATCTAAAGCAGCTGCATGAAAAGCTTTCCCATCTCTTCAGCAGCTTTCCCAGTTCTGAGAACTGGATCCCACCAAGGACAGAGGCCAACTCAGGCAGATGCTGTGTGCAGTCTCTTTTTGTTCTTTTTTTAAAAGTAGGCCAGAAGCTTGATGTTTTCACCATTCAAATTACTGTATAGTTAAACTCCTAAACTAAGGTTATGAATACTTTTGGAACTGGAACAGAACTTTTCCTGTACTTTTCCGATACGGAAGCGCTAGCAATGTCTCACGTCTCAGTAGCTTCCCTCTTGTCAGTTGTGAAGATTGCGCCTGGTGGTTTTGTTCTTAACTGAGTCTGTTCTTAAGGCTTATGTTGGTGCAGTTATTTTAGTTAGGGATCACGTCTTGCAGTCATTTTTGACAAATCTGTGTAAGCAATGAAGCATAGGCGAGTGAAATTGAGATGATGTCTTCTCACGTTATGCATCTTTTTTATTTTTTAATTTTTCTCACTCCCTTTGAATAGAGAAGGTTCATGCAGAAATTGAAGCAGTTCTAGGACGTGACAAAGTTCCTTCTCTTACCCACAAGGCTCAGATGCCCTTCACAGAGGCAACCATTATGGAAGTGCAGAGGATGACTGCGGTTGTTCCCCTTTCTATTCCTCGAATGGCCTCAGAAACTGCTGGTAAGCATTTGTAGAGACCTGTTAATACAGTGTTTCTTTTGTGGATGGAGATCTGATGGGATATCTAGTGAGAATTTACAAAGACGTCCTTTATGTATTAGACATGTGACCCAAGTATGTAAAATGTGATTTATAGAGGGTGGGTGGGCTTGAGATGGTCTTCTATTTATCAGCATGTCTGACCTAACATCTAGAAATTTTCTAATTTAGAGCGGTTTCTTTTCTGGGGGTCAGCTCATGTTGACTGATGTGCCTCAGTGGTAGCTGGCAGCTGAGAATCCACCTTTGTACCTGAAACAGCCATCTGGTTTTGGCCGTCTGACACAGGGGTCTGAAAACATCAAGTCAGAGCCATTGGTTTGCTAAAGCTCAAAAGGCTTCTGTACACCATTGAGCTCCACGTCTACAGAAAACAAGAATAAATATCCCTTCCCAAGCTGTCATGTTGACTGTATGTTTTCATAAACATGGTTGAACGCTGGTTGCAGTGAGTGGGAGGTGGCAATACTTGATCTGCTTTTTTAAATGTTTTGGCTTGCAGGACAGTGAGATGCAACAAGCTGAAATGAGACTAGTCACTTCAAAACCCTTTTGTGATAACAGTTCAAAACCCGTCCCTCTTCCTTACGTCCACCTCCACTGTGGTGGGGCTCTGTGACAGCACAGGAACAGGCAGAAACTGGGTCACAGCACTGCAGAGTACGTTTCTAATGATTGCTCCTGCGTTTTCCCCGCAGGGAGCTCTTGATGTAACTTGGTGTCTTTCCAGCTGCTCTGACCCAGGCAGGCTAGCAGAGATCACCTTCGCCTTAAGCTCCTGCTACGTTTGCAGCCCACATCTAGGGATCTGTATGATTTTTTTGACATCTTCTAGTTGTCTTTTTAATGCATATTTACTCCCATGTTTACTTCTAGCAACTTGTCAGATCCTCTGTCTCTGTGCTTTTGTTTGAAGTGCTGCAGGGATATACTATTCCTAAGGGCAGTGTGATTGTGCCCAATTTGTGGTCAGTACACAGAGACCCTAACATTTGGGAGAAACCAGATGAATTTCAACCATCAAGATTTCTGGATGAAAATGGCCAGCTAATTAAGAAAGAGGCGTTCATTCCTTTCGGAATGGGTAAGATATCCACATGCAGTCAGTAGTGGCTTGGGGGAGGTGGTGGTGTTTCAAGTGTAGGGCCTTGGAGACATGAGATGTGAAAGTTGTGCATCGGACCAACTACAGAACTTGTTTTATTATTACAGTTGGTGGTTTGCAAAAGGGGTTTGGTTCCTAACATCTCGATTTGACAGGCAGAAATGAGAAATGGTGAATTATCCTTTGACAATACTTTTGCTGTGGATGTAAATGCTGTTAGTATGAAGCAGTACAGCATGAAGCAGTACAGCTGAGCAAGGCTTAGACTCAAACACGGGAGACCAAAGCTTCAGAGTTCATAACTTAATAGTATCTTGAGCGTTTCTGTGTTTGGACTATGCCAGCATAGGAACTGCATGTGTGTTAACAAGTGGACCAGCAGTATAAAAACAGTAATATGTCTCTTCTAACTGTTCTTCAGGTAAACGTGTGTGCATGGGAGAGCAGTTGGCAAAAATGGAGCTGTTCTTAATTTTTGCAAGTCTAATGCAAAGTTTTACCTTTTTGTATCCTGAAAATGCTGCAAAGCCATCTATGGAGGGAAGGTTTGGTCTGACTTTAGCTCCATGTCCATTCAATATAATAGCTTTGAAGAAATGATATCAAAAAAGATTAAACGAAGACATATTGCACTTTGAAAATCCAACTTTATTTTGTTTCCAGCTTATTTTGTTACTTTCTTTCCAGAAAAACACCAACTGCGTAGGCTTTCATAGTCAGTGAGAATGATCCATTTACACTTTTTTTTTGTCAGCTGTTGCATTCCATAAATGAACTGACAGCATAGTTTGCAATTTGATATTAAAAGTTGCTGGACTTAAACCTGTAAGCTATTACTGTCAGTTTGTCAAATACTAATTGTGGGAGAATGGTCCAAAACATCTATGAATGCTTTAGCAAATAGTAATTGTTATTTTGCTAAAAGGCAGTATGTAAACATTTAATTTACCAAACGAGTGAAGGACATCATCCAATACCAAAAGGATTAATGAATGAGAGGATATTAGTGTTATTGGTGTAAAAAAAAAACAAACAACAACCAACCAACCAAAAAAAACCCTCACAAATCCAAACCACCACATTATAACTAAGCTTAAATAATGACAAATACTTTTCGGAAATGACTAAATGACACTTCTTTTAACTATGGAGGATTCTTTCTTGCAAGTAACTCGTCAGTGTCTATTGGATTGAATCAGTCTGGATTCCTGGATCCAAACATTCTTGCCTATCAGGGCTTGCTATAAACAAACAGGTACCAACTCTAAAAACCCCGGCTTGGAGGCCAAGTGAATCCTTGAATATACCACGTTCTTAACGTGAAAGGAGCACGCAGTGTCTGGATGCAGATATTTTATCTCAGAATATACAGGAGAGCAGATTTCTCTAACAAGAAACAGCAGAAGTCTGTTCTCTCTGGTACCCAGCAGATCTCTCAAGACAACGTCAGTGCTGCCACTTTGCATTTGCTGTTTCCCCATGTCAGCAGCAGTGTCTTGTTCTCTGGCTGCAGTTTGGATGAGACCAACAGCCCCACTCATCGGGGGAAACTCCACATGTGTAATCCTGAAGCTGGGACTTGCACTCAGGTTTTTCATTTACAGGCACTGTGGACAGTACTGCCACAACCTGTTTGGCTTCGGGAACTGGAGTCTGACTTCAGATGGGGCATCAACATGGCACTGCAGGTGTAGATCTTACACATTGAGGCATGGAACATGAGGAACTTGACAAACTTGAGGTTTGAACATAAAGGCTTTCTGTTTGTTGTCTTCCCTGTGGCATAAAAAGGTCTTTATTTCATACGATATCAGTACCTTGCTCTTTTCACTTGCAAAATTTTAGTGCTGTTTACCACTGTCAAGCCAATTGCCAGGAAAACCTGTTGTTAGGTGTTCTGGAAGGAGGCCCTCAGTTTTGCCTTTTATTTGAACGATCTCTCAAACATCACAAGTGATCTTTTGGAGGATATGTAATAATTAGCTTTTACATAATTGTTCTTAATCATCCTTAAATCTCTTTATACATCTTTGGATGTAGCAGAATTTCATATCAGATGTAATAAGTACATGTGTATTCTTCTAAGGATCTCCCTCCCCGCTTCACTGGAGATCTAGAAAACACTCTTAGTCCTCTTAATGTCAAGTCTACAAGACTGGAATGTGAAATTGACTGTAATGTGAGATTGGGTATTCCGTAGCAGAAACTAAACCTAAATTGTAAAAGAAGAGTCAACTCTTCAGCTTTAAATTAACCTCTGGTTTCGTCACTTTTTAACTTGAAGTTTTAAAAGCCAGGTAGTGCCTAGCAAAGACTGTTAAGATAGTTATTTTGGATTTAAATTAAGGTTTTCTGTTAGCTGTTTCAAATAACAGTGGCTGAATTTCTGAATGATACATTTAGTTGGTCAAGTACCCCACTCTTTGTGCAAGAACTTCCAGTTCTTACACAGGCTAACTTTCGACTTTACAGGTTAGCCCATGCTCATGTTAAGTTTTTTCTTTGCATGAAATTCTTGAAAACCCCATAGCACAATGAAAAGTTGAGTTTGGTACTACTGCTAGTAAACTTGCACTAAAAGCTAACAGTATTGGAGTAATAAGCATTTATTTCTTTATGTTTTCCAGTGAATATATAGATTCTGTACAGTTGAGATTTTTGTCTGGAAAATCTTAAAATTATATATGCTTAATTGAAAAGCTAAAATTAAGTGTTGATAATATTTATCTTTCTGTTGAAATGCCTCTTTAAGCAACATAATGATGTTGGTGTGCAACTGATCCCTTATATAAAATACCTGTCCTTTTAATCAATGAGGACACATTCGAAAAGCACTTTAGGATTTTTTTTTTTTTTGTACGGATTCCAAAGACACAATTCATATAATTCCGTTGTATGTGGAATTGTACGTAGTTGTGCTCGTTTTGCCTGCTGGGTTTAGTTTAAAATGTCACCTTTGAAAAACTATCATTTGAAAATTACCCTTCTACAAATAGTACTTTGAGATGCGGTTTTTGACGATACCTGTAATCAAATGCTGCATAGTGCGACAAGCTAAAAATACTCATCTGAAGGTGCAACCATGTCGATGTCTGCCAGAATGCAAGATGCTGCTGGAAATGACAGTCAAGACCTGCCTTTCATGCCTTCCAGAGGCACTGAAATTTTCACAGGATGCCATGAAAGTAGGTAAGCAGTAGCATAAAAGCAACAAAATGTTTGTGGTTTTAAAAATGTGTTGCCATCTTTGGTAAACTGTAAGTAAAGTGTTAGCAGATATGGTTTGTATTTGTAAATGTATCCTTCCCCTTCGTTTTTTTTAGCAGAGGAAGCATCTCAAATGCCTTATTGAAAAAATGTTTGTGTATATAACTGGATGACTATTTCTGAATGCTGAAAATGTCTTTATTTCTAAAAATTACTTCAGACTTTGCTTCAGTGTAATTTTATTTTCAATAAAGTAATTCCCAAATAAGTGTTTGACAGCTTTGCATAGTCATTATAATGAGTTCCACTTGTTGACTAAGCTTGGGATGTTTGGTGATTTACATCTTGCAAAGAAAGCTTTTGAGTGAGATGTTACGAAATGTTTTGAATGAGGAGTGAAGGAGGTGGGGGAATAAATTGATACTGGGAAAACAGAATGCCAGGGATGTTGTGATCAAACGACAGAAAGGGATGTCTGTTCATTCACTCAATGCAGTTTTAAAAACGGTTACTCGGAATAAAAGGAGAAGGAAGAGCAGAGATGAGGAAGATAAAAGGTCAAGTGAGTTGCCACCAGGAGGAGATGCACCGTCTGAGAAATGAGGTGGGAGAGAAAACTAGGCAGAGTAGAGATGTAGTTTTGTTGGACTCATGGCGTAGAAGGGGTCAGAGAGAGAGGGCAGACAGGGAGGGGGGTGCCCAGGGAGAGCCTGGGACAGGGGACAGAGAGCTGGGGCATCTGACCCAGGAGGAGCCCAGGGAGAGGCAGGATATCCTTGCACATACGAGGAGAGGGCTGAGCAGGAGACAGCCGAAGTGCTCGTGGGGAAGGAGTGGGTGTGGGTGCTCACAAGCACAGCTGTGTGTGGAAATTCAGTGTCTTACACCTTGGAGTTAGGTTGCAGGTAACTTGGTACGTCTCTGTTTTTTTAGGGAATCTCGTTAATTATCTGCTCAGCTGTCAGTTTTATACACAAGGAACAGTGAGCCTCTGAGTAAAGCTGTTTCCAGCAGCCACTTGCTGCTCCTGACTAACCTGCTGTCAGATGAGGCTGAGGAAAAGGGGAATTTTTTGCGTTGCACTTTTGGTACAAAGTGCAGAGATAGGAGAATACTCTGCTTTTTTTTTTTGTCTGAAGAAAACAAGTTGCTTAATGTTTACCTGATGCTGACTCAAGTAGAATGTGCTGTAATTGCTGTGTTGTCAGCTGCTGCTGTTGCTGACTTGACGTGGTGGTCGCTCTAGCGATAAAAGAATTGGATGGAAATGATCTGAGGGCTGGAGCACCTCTGCTGTGAAGACAGGCTGAGAGAGTTGGGGCTGTTCAGCCTGGAGAAGAGAAGGCTCCGGGGTGATCTTATTGCAGCCTTCCAGTACCTAAAGGGGGCCTACAGGAAGGCTGGAGAGGGACTTTTGACAAGGGCGTGTAGTGACAGGACAAGGGGCAATGGCTTTAAATTGAAAGAGGGGAGATTTAGATTAGATCTAAGGAAGAAGTTTTTCACTCAGAGGGTGGTGAGGCACTGGAACAGGTTGCCCAGAGAAGTTGTGGATGCCCCATCCCTGGAAGTGTTCAAGGCCAGGCTGGATGAGGCTTTGGGCAACCTGGTGTAGTGGAGGGTTTCCCTGCCCATGGCAGGGGTGTTGGAACTACAAGATCTTTGAGGTCCCTTCCAACCCAAACCATTCTGTAATTCTATGAAAACGATGGCGGTCTGTGTCTGCTAGGACTCGGCCATTAGCATTTATAAAGGCGGGATTTGATATTCTTTCATTCGCTGTGCCGTGTGTGCTAGCCTGAACGTGAAATCCCCTTCTAGTTTGGAAACACTTATTACGGGGGTGCTCTAACGTTGGGAAAACGAGCTCCCTCGAGAGAAACGGGAACGTTTTGGAGGCAGCACAGCGACCTGTGC